TGGACAGCCAGATCAGTGCGAATCTGGTAACAATAATTTAGTGCTGCGGCAAATCTCCTCGCTCCCGCGATAGTCTTTGTCAGAGCAATACTTGCCGTCTCTCCAAAGAAGTTGTTGTCCCGTTTCAAATACCAGATCAATTTCCTCGGGTCCGTCTTGCCAACCCGCAAAGATCCAAGAAAGGTCCGCATAATTCCCCTTCATTGCCATAAACAATTCTTTAATTTTCTGCAGTGCTTATTCGTGACCCTTTACGAATGGTGGCGCCATGATCACTGCCTGCACATCAGGACGTTTCTGTAGCGCGGCTACTATTTCTTCAACATCTTGCTCCTTTGCGTCCACATCCAAAAGAAAAATTCCAATTTTGAAGGGGCCCATTTCCCAAGGGCTGCTTCTCAGTTCTGTCCAGTTGCTAAACTGCAGTTGCTTCCTTGCTGGTTTTACAGCTACATGCTCGTTTTCCACTAGCACTTTGCTCAGTGTGCACTCTCATGCTCCTCCAGATATTGCCACTCTTGTTTTTGTCGCGCCTCTGGATCGGTTCGCTTCTGCTCGAACTTCCTCGGTTGCTTCAATAAATGGATCACGCTGCGCGAATATACCTCGGTACCCAGAATACATAGGCATTCCAAATGATTCTTTCATTGCCTGCTGCCGATGAGGACAGCTCTTTATCAACGGTGTAACGGCTTCCCGCCATCCTTTCTTTTCTGCTTCAACGGGGATGTTGTACGGGTCCTTCCGCAAAATTGTTTCTTTTATCTCCAATTTTTCGTTGGAATCGCACAAATTTATCGCTTTTGCCAACTCATCCACTTTTCGAAACGGAATTTTGGCAACAGCGTCTGGTAGAAATGCGTCTACCACACCCCCCAGTGTGACTCCATTGCGACACACTGCTGCCGTACATTCGCGGTTCTTCCTCATCGTTTCTTCCACATTCACTGCTCTGCTGGGTTCTTGTCCCCTTTCGAATACCACTTGGGACTGCTCTAGGTCTGAAATTGTATCTGTGTACTTTTGCTCCTCGCGTTTTCTTTTCGAAAATCTTTCCTAATTTCAAGGGTCTGCGAGCATTTCTCCCCCGTGATGCACCTAGCAGATATTCCCCTTCTACTACTTCCTTGGGAATTTTCCGCAGGTGTCCTACTGCACTTTGAACGCTTGTTCTTTCCCCTCCATCAGCTATACTGTGGCACTATTGTCCGTCATCGTCAAGACGCGGTATGGTACCACGAATTTGTGGCTGAACTTGAGGTGCCGGGCCTTTCTGACCTCTGTCGGCATACACACTAGTACCCGTTCTCCTATCCGAAACGGACTAACTTGCACGTAGTTACGCACATCATAATACTGGTTGGCTCGCGCTCCCAATTGCTGGCATCATTTGCGCTCTCCAGAGTCGGGATTTCCCCAGCGCGTTGGTGCCCAATAGCAACGGATCACCAATCCCATCCTCTGCTTCCACAAACATCTCTACGGGTCTTTCCTCTTGACCCCATCTTACTCTCAGCTTTATGCTACCTCGCAACTTCATTTAACGCCCTGACGCGTCTCACTATTTCGTTCCCAATGTCCCGTAAATTCCTGGTTAGGTGCAATCCAGCCGACTCAGCCCCCATGTTATGCGGAAGACGAGGACGACAAAGACGAAAATGCTGGTACGACGAGCTTCAGACGGAAAATTGGATGAATGCTGATGTACTGTGGTGCGTAGTGGGCTGACTGGAGTAAAACAAACAAACTTTATCAATA